GCCGTGGCAGTCACAGCAGTGAATCCTCGGGCAAGTACAGCCTGAGGGAGTCCATAGGCAGCTTAGGTGACTGTGAGCGGTCACACTCCAGCCCAGGACCTACAGCGGCGTCTCCGATAGAGCTGCAGGTGCTTCATTCTCCTAACAACTACACTGTGGAAGGGTCAAGGAATGTGACGGAAGGAGCCACCGCTGACGAGGACGCCCTGCGGCCCCTTCAAGACCTCTCCCGCGTCAGGAAGGTTTCCAAGGGCTCCAACTGCAGTGAGCGAGGCTCCCTCACTTCTGTGGCATCCGTGACGGCGGTGTTGAGGGCTCGGCTGGGAAGATCTGCCTCGCTCAAAGTTCGGCGTCCAAGGGCAGAGTCAGAGGCGCTGGGCCACGAGTCTCCTGCCATGGTCACAGAGAAGCGCCCTCGACGTGCAGTGTCGCTCCGTCTGCCTCGCAGCCATCGCCGAGCGCACGACGCAGACACCAACCTTCCCACCATCTACGTCGAAGACTCGCCCCGGTCTAAGGGTCAGCAAGGCCGCGAGTACCCCCGAAAATCTTCCCTTCGACGCGCGCTGTCCCTCCTGAGCATGAACTCCCTGCGGCAAGAGTCCTTAGGCCACCAGAAACCGCATAAGCCCGTGCAGAAGATCCTGCGTCAGCCACGCCGGCGCCACACCACAGTACGAGGATTGAGTGGCATGGCCATCGACGCCGCAAACCAGTCCGGACTACAGCGATCCAACACCCTCTACTACCCCACCGCCACCAGCATGAGACACGCCTACGCCGCCAGACGCACCTACAGCGACCAACATACCTAGCACGCGAAGGGTTCTGGGGAACTGGTGCAGCGGCAGAGCCCCGATGGTGGTAGTAGTAATAGTAGTGGCTGTAGTGGTGGAGGGGGGAGGGAGACGAGGCTCTCGCCACACACACTCCGTGTACCTCACCACACGCACCACTGGTGACACACACACACAAGTGAACACTGATGCCTGTGAACTGTAGTAATCTAAGTATATATTGTATTGCCATCTGCCATTCATAACATTTCGGAGTGGACAAGATAATCAAGACTCATAAGAGGAGTAGAATAATATAACGGAAAAAATAATAAAAGACATTTATTTATCCTCAAGTGATACGGACAGAGACCGTGATTCAGCAAGGACTTACACAGTTCGTGAGGCGTCTCGTGCAGCACCAAGCGTATCAACAAGAGAAACTATTATACTGTATATACTGTTGTCAGGAAGCTTGCTGTAAACACTATGGGTTCAGCGGCTCTTATGTCGGCCACTTAGAGACAATTAAAAAGGATTCTTGACTGATCCAAATTATTATGTCACAAACGATGGCATCGAGAACGATACAATGATGTGTGAATATAAATAAATAAATATATATATATATATATATATATATATATATATATATATATATATATATATATATATATATATATATATATATATATACATATAAATATACAGTATATATATTCTATTTAAGTACATGACACAATACGTAACACAAAAGTACTGTAATACACAAGACCTTCTAATAAGCATCACATTACATAACTATAAATCCCAGTCCCAAGTTTCTTCACCTTGATGTAATGACAACAGGTGTCAGCAGCGTCAGCCCTTCAGGGGACAAACAGAAACGTCAAAAATCACAACCAAGTACAACCCAATAGTGTCAGCCAATTAGAGTAACCATAATTTAAGAAAATAAACGGGAATATTTATTAGACTAAGATTATATATTATACTAAGATTATTATATGTATGTATAGAGAAACTCTAGTGTGTATTTTTATATCTGTGATAGTATATTTCATATATACATATATGTATATATATATATATATATATATATATATATATATATATATATATATATATATATATATATATATATATATATATATGCATGTAAATCACTGTGGGTGATCCAGGTATATGCTGATAACCACAAGGAAAGAAGAAAACACAGAAGTTCCCAAGCGCTTTCGTGTAATTCACATCTTCAGGGGTGAGTACAGACTCACCTGAGATGTGAATTGAAATATATATATATATATATATATATATATATATATATATATATATATATATATATATATATATATATATATATATATATATATATATATATATATATATATGCGTGTGTGTGTGTGTGTGTTACACTAAATAGGGATAATTTGCGATTAGTGATAACTTCTGTGTATTTATCTTTTTGGGGTAACTTCTGACTAGCCATAAGCGATCAAATCAAGCATAAAATTAATTAAAATTAATATTTTCATACAAAACCTAACTTAACCTAAACATACCTTGCCTACTATAATTTTGCTACATTGTGAGAGTAAAAGATGTCTTAAATGAAATAGATCAAATATCACCATACTGTATACCAATTAATTTCAATTGAGTTTTAGCAATAATAACAAAAAGTTATCCCTGGTCAACAAAAACTTAAGTTGCTTTTGAAGTGTAACATACATGAGCCCTGACACGGCAGGCAGTCACTACCCTGTGTCTATTATAACAAAGACTCGGCCATCAGACAAGAGAGTAGTGTTCTCAAAGTAATATTATTTTTTCACATATTAAAATCGCCATATATATCTTCACAGACCTGTTTCTTTAACCTTATCTTGAAGTCTTCCCTCACCAGGTGTATGAAGCAGCACACACACACCTGGTAGAACACTTGGTCACACCTGGTAGGTTAAGTTAGGTTAATTTTCACCCCTGGAGAGAGAAACTTCAGAATACATTAAAAAAAATCTTATTCCCTAAAATTCGCCTGATTGTTATTTTATAAAGAAATTTACCATAAAGGAAAAAATACTGGGGGTGATATGAACCCTCAGTGTTACTTTTAGATCTGAATATGTCTGTCTGATGTCTGTGTTTCTGTCTGTCTGTCTGTTTATTTGTCTCCTTGCATATATATTCTCTCTCTCTCTCTCTCTCTCTCTCTCTCTCTCTCCTCTCTCTCTCTCTCTCTCTCTCTCTCTCGGCAGACGAAAATGAAATCTTCTCTGAGTAAAGCTAAAGAGATTCATCGCCCCTCCTCCTTCCCCTAACCCCTCACCCCTCTCCCCTCCTCTTCCTCCTCCTCTCCTATCCCCCAACCCCCTCTCCTACCTCCCCCTCGAGGCTCAAGACTCTTAAAACATTATCAAAGTTAGAAAATGTTCTCAGACGTACAAGTGGTGGAAACACTCACTCAGTCAGCACAAGAAAGAGAGAGACAGAGAGACAGAGAGAGAGACAGAAAGACAGACAGACAGACAGAGAATACTACCAATAGCAGAGGACATTTACTAGCCACAGGTGTACTGGCTTAATGTCTGTCTGTCTGTCTGTCTGTCTGTCTGTCTGTCTGTTTTTCTCACTTCATTTCTCACAAACGAAGAATTAACAAACTTTGGAAAATTATAGAGTATTTGTCGTAAGAAGTAAAGATATTATAATACAAATATCTTTAAAATATATATAAATTAGTAAAGATCCTCAAGAATAATTAATTATTTTGTTTATCATTTTTTTATCAGGAGAAAAATATGTTCTTATTTTTATTGATTATCTTCGCCTAAAAAAAAATATTAATAAATTCTTCAATAATGGGGAAGAGATTTACATAAATAACCCCGTGGTGTCGTATTAACCTTAACCCCTTGAAGATGAAAGGGTTAAACCATAGTCTTTAAAAGGGTTAAATCATCGTTCTAGTGGGCATAAGAATTAATCCTGCTGTTTTATATACCTAAACCTTCAACAACAACAAATTAATAATGTTTCTTTTTTTTCCTTTAAATAATAACACAAGGAACACTCGAATGCCTAATTATCCATCAACTCCCTGAGGCGTCAAATTTCAAGGTTTACATTCAAGGTGACTCTAATGATACGACAGAGCCAGACAGTGAGGCGAAAAACAAAAACAAAAAAAAACAAAAAATTAAAACAAAAAATAAAAAAATAAATATTCCTCCACGAATGAAAGACAACTCCCCCAAAAAATATTTATATCACAAAATATTCATAATCAATCTTCTCCCCCTCGAGGTTTCCAATCTATATTTTTCTCGTCTGGGTAGGGGTGTAATCACAGAGCGAGACACTGAAGCCAAGATTACAAGAACGAACAGCTGAAAATTTTCGTCTGGGGAAGGTGAGAGATAGGAGGTGAGGCTCGTTGGATTGAAAGGTCGACGGGCTAACCAAGATTTAAGGGAAGGGAGATGGTAGAGGTCATGTGTCAGAGCTATGGGTTCGTGGTGTTATGGAGGAGGAGGAGGAGGAAGAGAGATAAGAGACGAGTTTCACGGTGTTTTGAAGAAGTATTGACGAAAGAGGAGGAAGAAGAATAGACGATGATCATGGCGTTATGGAGAAGTGTTAGAGATAGTGGAAGGAAGAAGAGGAGGAGGAGGAGGTTCACAGGTTGGCAATACAGCAGGCGAGGAAGAAAAAAGGGACCTAAGAATATACAGGGTACATAACCAACTCCCCGACGCGGCCAAGGGATCAGAGGAATGGACACAAGTCTTCCATTACTTCCATTACATCAAGGAACCTTTTATATATTGTTCATCTTCTTATAACTCAGAGCCTTCACAGAGTTACGAGCCGAAACGAACGTTCCTTTCTGGTACGGTAGTGAAAGACAAAGAACTTATCAAGATTCATCACTTTCGTTCCCTCCAGCACACTGCCCTGGCCAGCTAATTGACCTCTGACATTTGCCTTTGACCTTTCCACTTCGCCCACCGTATTTTGCTGGGACTGTGTCGAGGTCTGCCAGGGTTACGGGGAGTGTGTCGAGGTCTGCCAGGGTTACGGGGAGTGTGTCGAGGTCTGCCAGGGTTACGGGGAGTGTGTCGAGGTCTGCCAGGGTTACGGGGAGTGTGTCGAGGTCTGCCAGGGTTACGGGAGTGTATCGAGGTCTGCCAGGGTTACGGGAGTGTGTCGAGCTCTGCCAGGTTACGTGGAGGTGTTAAGGTCTGCCAGATTACGGGGAGTGTGTTGAGGTCTGCCAGGGTTACGGGGAGTGTGTCGAGGTCTGCCAGGGTTACGGGGAGTGTGTCGAGGTCTGCCAGGGTTACGGGGAGTGTGTCGAGGTCTGCCAGGGTTACGGGGAGTGTGTCGAGGTCTGCCAGGGTTACGGGGAGTGTGTCGAGGTCTGCCAGGGTTACGGGGAGTGTGTCGAGGTCTGCCAGGGTTACGGGGAGTGTGTTGAGCTCTGCCAGGGTTACGGGGAGTATGTTGAGCTCTGCCAGGGTTACGGGGAGTGTGCCGAGGTCTGCCAGGGTTACGGGGAGTGTGTTGAGCTCTGCCAGGGTTACGGGGAGTGTGTTGAGCTCTGCCAGGGTTACGGGGAGTATGTTGAGCTCTGCCAGGGTTACGGGGAGTGTGCCGAGGTCTGCCAGGGTTACGGGGAGTGTGTTGAGCTCTGCCAGGGTTACGAGGAGTGTGTTGAGCTCTGCCAGGGTTACGTGGAGTGTGTCGAGGTCTGCCAGGGTTACGTGGAGTGTTTTCTTTGTTGACATCGCTCATAATAGGTGAATAGACAGGCAAGACAGGCAGATGGACAGACAGACGAGTAAAACAGACTAATAGACAGACAGAAAAGAAAAATATTAACAGACTTCCGGACAAAAACAGACATATAGGAATCTCGACAAATAAACAGGATATGAAAAAAGACAAAACAGATGTGAGACACTCATTTGACTAAACCCGCGTAAACATCGTCACAAAGATATAGACATTACGAAAGAAAATTAAAGAATCTAAAAAGAAGTCCACCACCGCTCGTCTTCTCTAAGTGAACAGGATGTGATGTGACTTTATAACAAGACAAGCTTATAGAAATGGTAGACTTTCTATGATACTTTATATAATTTGTCTTTTTCACCATCACTTCTTCTGCCACCCTTCCCTTCCCTTCCCTTCCCTCTTTCCCATCGTTTTTAACCTCCTCCATGCCCTTCCTCCCTGCCTCTCCTCCCTGCCCTTCCTCCCTGCCCTTCCTCCCTGCCCTTCCTCCTTGCCTCTCCTCCTCCTCTCCTCAGTGTTCCTCCCCAGCTCCTCCACCCTGCCCCTCCCTCCCCTGCCCTTTCTTCCTGCCCCCTCCTCCTGCTTCCTCCATGCCTCTCCTCTGCCCTCCCTCCCTGCCCTCCCTCTCCCTGCCCCTTCCTACCTGCTTCTCCCCTGCCCAGCCTCACTATTACACATAACATATCAACGTTTTACCAGACCACAGACATACACCTCCTCTCTCATTCTACCTCCTATCCCTCCTCCCTCCCATTCCACCCCTCCCACCCCACCCATCTCACCTTTCCCATCCTGACTCCATCCCACCCCCTCCCTCCCACCCTCCCTCCCACCCCTCCTCCCACCCCTCCCTCCCACCCCTCCCTCCCACCCTCCCTCCCACCCCCTCCTCATCCCACCCTCTCATATCCCACCCCCTTTCATCCCAATCTCCCTCAACCATCCACAGTCATCACCAACCATACGTGTATACCTGCCGCCACCAGACGCGTCACTCCCCTACCCTATCAACCCATATACGTCCCCCCTCACCCCTCCTGCCCTCACCCTCCCTGCCCCCTCACTCCTTCCCTCCTTGTCCTCCACGGACCTTTGGAATAGGGTTTCAAGGATTCAATTCCATTTGACTTCTCCATAAGGTCACGTCCACACACACACACACACACACACACACACACACACACACGTACCCTTAAATACAGTATATACATAAAACGGGTTCCGTTCGTGTTCAAAAACCCGTATATTTTAATTAATGTCGTTTTTAACTAGTCAAAAAGTCACAAAATGCTAGCTTAGAATAGTGAATATAAACTGATGGAAGTTCTTCATTTACAAACGGATTAAAGTTTTTTTTTTATTAAGTGTCAAAGTTGTTTTGTGAGGGACACTTGAGGGTTTATTTTTTGATTCATAATATTTAACGAGAGAGTAAGTGTGAGACTGATTATGTGAGAATTTAGGGTGTGTGTGTGTGTGTGTGTGTGTGTGTGTGTGTGTGGGTGTGTGTGTGTGAGTGAATAAATTAAACTATCAACTAAAAAGGAACCATAACATCATTAACCTTCCCCATAATTTCCTTCATGGGAGGTAAGAGAGAAATATGGTCACATGTCCTTCACTCATGAGGGGGAAACTCCTTTTAGTTATTATTATATAGAATTATAGATCAGTGGAAGTTATAGAAGATGTTAATATTGTTCCTTCTCCATTATAACACGAGATGGGATTATAATATATCATAACCTTACACTTAGTTGGTCCATTAAGAGAAGGAATACCTCATCTACACTATTACCAGGCTTGTGCTTATTCCGACCCATACAATACCTTCATTATAGACAAGGTTCGAACCCGTCTCCCCAATGAAAAGAAACCAGTGTTGACGCCAATAAACCATCTCGACTCATATATACACAAATACACACACATGCAAACTTAGACACACACACACACACACACACTTACAACATGTTCCCAAGCGATATAGTTCGGCTCTCACTAACCTCATGTTCCTATCAGTCTGTTCCGTTTCCTCTCCACCTCCACAACACGCACACCAAAAGACAAAAATATCCCTCACGTGCTAAAAAGTAAACAGAATTATCAGTCAGGGCAGAATAGGTTGACTTAAATGAAGGTTTGAGTGAAAATGAAGAAAAGGGTTTAATGTTAATTCAAGGAAGACGAACGCAAGATGTGAGAGAAAGGGAAGGAGGGAAGGAGGAGGAATAGGAAGATGGAAAGGATAAAACAAGAATTGGATGAGGAAGAAGGAGTAAAGAGGAAAAACGAAGGAGAGGCGAAGGAGTAGAAGAAGAGGGAGGTATATTAAAACACAGAGAAAACAGGAAAGAAAGAGAAGAGCAGAGGAAGAGAAAAAGTGATATACCACATAAGTGATAACAAGAAGAAGAAAAAGAGAAAGTACGAAAGAAAGGGAAAGAAAGAGAAGAAGAAGAAGAAAAAGAGAAAGTACGAAAGAAAGGGAAAGAAAGAGAAGAAGAAGAAGAAGAAGAAGAAGAAAAAGAGAAAGTACGAAAGAAAGGGAAAGAAAGAGAAGAAGAAGAAGAAGAAAAGAGAAAGTACGAAAGAAAGGGAAAGAAAGAGAAGAAGAAGAAGAAGAAGAAGAAGAAGAAGACAAAGAAGACGCGGATAAACGAAAAATGAAAACATCCAGCCAACAGGAAGAGAGAAGTGATAAACAACCCTAAACAGACGCTCTGGTAACCCCCATCCCTCCCCACCACCACCACCACCACCCTTCACACTCAGCTGCACTTGGCAACTCAGCTCTGAGGAAAATGTAATATTTATGAAAATGCTCTTAGAGTAAAAAATTCTTACCTTCATTTCTTTATATGTGAAAAAAATTCTGAGTTGTAGAATTTAATATAAATCTCATTTTAACCGATGATTATTATTATTTTTGCTCTCTCTCTCTCTCTCTCTCTCTCTCTCTCTCTCTCTCTCTCTCTCTCTCTCTCTCTCTCTCTCTCTCTCTCTCTCTCTCTCTCTCTCTCTCTCTCTCTCTCCAAATTCTCTCCATTCCTCCCCCAGTCTTTCACTTTATCCTCCTCCTCTTTCTCCCTCCCTCCTCCTACTACTACTACTACTCGTCCTCCCTCCTCCTCCTCCTCCCTCCTCCTCCTCCTCCTCCTCCTCCTCCTCCTCCCTCCTCCTCCTCCTCCTGCTCCTCCTCCCTCCTCCTCCTCCTCCTCCTCCCTCCTCCTCCTCCTCCTCCTCCTCCTCCTCCTCCTCCTCCCTCCTCCTCCTCCTCCTCCTCCTCCCTCCTCCCTCCTCCTCCTCCTCCTCCTCCTCCTCCTCCTCCTCCTCCTCCTCCCTCCTCCTCCTCCTCCTCCTCCCTCCTCCTCCCTCCTCCTCCTCCTCCTCCCTCCTCCTCCTCCTCCTCCTCCCTCCTCCTCCTCCTCCTCCTCCTCCTCCTCCTCCTCCTCCTCCTCCTCCCACTATTACGTACATATCAGAAAACTTAATATTGGACGAGGAGAGAACCCCACGAATGATGATTGGCAGATCATTCTTCGCATCGAACCAATCACTGGCTGGCATCTGACGTCACACATCCGTCTTATCCACACACCTTCAATAACATCAACAACAATAACATTTTGCGTTTATTTTTTTTTTAAGTAGAAAATAACAAGATCGGGATACGTACTGAGGTGTGCAAGGCGGGTGAATATTGGAGGAGACTTGTGAGCTTTCCTGTCCGCCAATTGGTATAAAGTGTCTCTCGTTTACACCAATCAGCGCCAAGGGATGTACAATGAGGCTTGCATCGAGGACTATGATTGGTGCAGATTGAGAATTTCTGTGTATTACTATGTTGACTCAATTCCTACTATCTGATTGGTGAAAAAGAGTATTGATTTACAACCAATCAGCATCAGGGATGGTAAGAGATATCAAGGTGCAGAGATTGGTGCGAAGGAGTCTACATTTAAACCAATCAGCGTCAGGACTTGCTAGTAAATCTATATAGGAGATTGTAATTGGTGGAGGCTGAGGAGCTGTAGTTGTATATATGGACGAATTAACTCCCAGCAAGAAAGCAGACCAGTTACGCGCCTTCAATGAAGCCCTGAAAACTAGGAACACTGCCACCACCTCCAACAACTCCACCACCACCACCACCTCCACCACCACCACCACTGCTACCGCTACTGAGGACAACTGGACGAAGGTAGAAAACAAGAAACGCCGACGTGCTTTTTCGGGAAACGAATGCCGTCAAGCAGCCCCAAAGGCACCCATCACCACCACCAGCTCACCTCCAACGACACTGCCAAAATTCCGGATCACGAAAACGGACGCAAAAACAACATATGCCGCCGTCACAGAGATGGAAAAGCTAAATCCTCTGGCCAAGTTCTCAGTGCGGCCCAACCTAAAGGGGGAGATGATCGTTCACCCCAAAGACAAGAACTCCGCCACCACCCTCGACACTTACCTGCAAAGCACCACCACCATTACTTCAACCAAGCTAGACCCCGCCCAGAAACTGATGAAGTCGGTAGTCCTCCGGTACCCAAAGGAACTACCTCTCGAACCCCTGGAGAACCACCCGAAGATCCTAAAAGCCGAGAGATGCTCTCCCCTGTCCGACAAGACGGCCACCACGAAACAAGTGCTCATAACGCACTACGGCTCACCCCCCAGCACCATAGACCTCAAAACCTGGGGGATCTACGAAGTGAGGCCCTTCGTCCCAGAGCCCCTGCGGTGCTTCAGATGCCAGAAGTACGGGCACCATCAGACAAGGTGCACGTACAAGGAAATCTGCGCAGTCTGCGCACAGAAGCACGGCACACACTCCTGCCTCACCAAGCTGAAGAATGGGGAAAAAATTGCCCCCAAGTGTGCCAACTGCGGGGGCAAACACCACGCCTGGAATCCTGGATGCTCCGAGAGAACAAAGAGGGTCCAGGCAAACCGACCAGCAGCAAGACCGGCCCCCACCGCCTACACACCAGCCC